AAAATCTACAATGAATTATTCTAGATACTAAGGAAAGAAAATACAACTTCACTAGACTAACGTTAAATAAACTGAATAACATGACAAAGATTTTGAGTTCCATAAAACCGTTAAAATTATAGTTTAAAAATTTGACCAAAACAAGTTTTGATCGAACATTTTGTCCAGGACTTTATAAAAAATTCAATTGAGCCATGATATATATATATATATATATATATATATATATATATATATATATATATATATATATATATATATATATATATATATATATATATATATATATATATATATACATATATATATATATATATATATATATATATATATATATATATATATATATATATATATATATATATATATATATATTTCATAGATTTCACACTATAATATAAACACACAAACACTAGTTGATTTTGCAAACTTGACCACAGCTGTTAAGATGTTTCGAAAATTTGTATACATTATATCAACTTAACTATAAAGAAAACTTATAAAAAAATATCCTAAAGAAGCAAATAAAAAAATAAACAAAAAATAAAATATAAATAATTTAACTAAATCAAAAAAATTAAATCAAAATTTAACGAAAAAAAAAAAAAAAAACCTTAATAGTTTTAGTAGTAGTAGTACCCCTTCGATCGTATTTGACACGGAACTCTTGGCAGCCATTGCAACCAAAGTAATGGCAAGAAAGAGTACATTTTGTTGTAAGAAAACATGAACAAAAGTGTATGCAAAGATCTAACTTATGTAAACTTCAAGTTATGCAATGTTAAAACATACTTAAACATGTATCAAATTTTATATTTCCATTTTATAAAGTCTTTTGTTTGTTAAATAATTTTAAAATGTTTGTCAGACAATATGCATTGCGTTGCAGAGTGGTTAGCTCATAGGGTTTTAGAAGCAAAAAAGCCATTGTTCGAATCCTACCAGTCTTCTTTTTTTTTTTTAATACTTTTTGATTTTTCTAATTTACAAAATAAAATACTTATGAAGTTTTATATATGTTATATACATAACACACTTAAAAATATTATACACTATAACAAGCAAAAAGTAGAGAATTTTCAAAAAAGCTTTTTTCTAGCTAGGGTCTAGAAATTTTTTTTAACAAATAAGTCTTTTTTGCTACATTTATTTTTTGCAATAAATATATACGTCCAGATTTAAATTGAAAATATATTGTTTAAGGAGTGGATTTAAAACCTTGCAAAACAAAACAGACGACGCATTAAACCACTGATCTATCAAATTTATCCATGTAATAAAAAAGAAATCATTATTTAAACTTTTATACCGTTTGCAATTAATCAACACATTTCAAGTGGGTTCTCTAAATAAGTGCAGCTTTATTGCATAGCATCAAATATAACAAAATATAACAATAAACTAATATGTTATATGCATGTAAAAAATCCACTTATATAACATTTTATACAGAGTATAACAAAACTTTTCTAATAATTTTAAGTCTTTTTTACTTAAACTGTTTTGTTTTGGATTTTTGTATTTATGTTATTGTATTTTAAAAAATTGACGAAATTATAAAAATACAAAAATTACTGACTTATTTAAGTGGAAAATGTGAAACTTTTTTTAGATTTATCATGACTATTACCTCCCCTAAAAATTTCTGTTTGTTAAAATTATGCCATTTCCTTAGTTCCGCCATTTGCATAGCATTAGGTAAAAACTACTATAAGTGTAAACATCTTTTGCATAAGTTGAGTTTGTTGGGCATATATTGAACGACCGTGTATCATAGATGTAATATATAGAAAAAACTTTAAATTTGTATTTTAACAATAAGAAGTTTATTTTGCTATATATAATTTTTTGCTATAAATATATAAAACAAGATTGAGAAAATTTCAAAATTTATTATTCTTCAGGGAGGACTTGAACTCCCTGGAATATCACCAATGACAGCGCACTAAACCACTGAGCCCTAGAGGAAATGCACCTAGGAATAAAACAAATCATTTTATAAATCTCTTATAAGCTTTACGTATGCAGAAAAGGTATGCATTTTAATTTTTTTTTCCTTCAAGCAATTTTTTAAAATGAATTATTTACTAAAAAATATCAAGTAAATAAGAAAAAAGCATAGAAATGATCGATGTGGAATAGATAAGTATAGAAATAGTTCGTTTAGTAAAGACCTATATTTAATGGGTTTGGAAAGCTAGAAAATAATAAAATATAACAATTTAAATAATAAAATATATATATATATATATATATATATATATATATATAAATATATATATATATATATATATATATATATATATATATATATATATATATATATATATATATATATATATATATATATATATATATATATATATATATATATACACACATATATACATATTTAAAATTCAAAATGCAGTTTAAAATAAAATAACATTTATGCAAGTTGTTACAAATTTAAACAGAACATACTGTGCTGTTTTATGTAAAATCCTACTCAGTATGGATT